GGCTCTGGCAAGTGATCAAAACTCAATTTTATCACACCTCTGATTTCTATATCATGTTCAAGTGGACCCAATGCCTCGATCTTCCTTTTAATTGACAACCACGTGACTCTGTCCAACCTTTTTGTACACAAAATACCTCCTATAACCCTTGCAACTAATGGCACACCTCCACATAATTGAGCAATATCCCTTCCAATTTTCTCCAATTCTAGAGTTATAGAAGCATCTCGAGGTACTCTTTTCCTGATAATAGACCAACAGTTAGCGATTTGTAGTTTCCCAAGATGATGCATGTGTTGAGGAAGTGTTCTCATTTTCAATGCAACTTTTTCATTTCGAGTTGTCACAATAACTCTATTCCTTGACATTTTACATACTCCTAGCAAACAGCTTCTCAAGTCTTCAAATTTACCGTGACTCTCTTCATCCCACATATCATCCAGTACCAGAAGAAAGTTGTTCTCCCCCATGGCTTCTCTTATTTTTTGAATCACAGTATTTTTGTTTTTTACTGCACAAGAATTTCCGGAGAGAGACTCCAGCATTTCTGTTAAAATCCTCTCTACTTCAAAACTGTCCGTTGCACAAACCCACATTATTTTACCAAAGTAGTTTTTGATTCGCTTATCATTACACACAGCTTGTGCTAACGTGGTTTTACCGAGACCCGGCATACCCACTAAAGACAATACACAAAGGCGTAACTCATTAGATGAGTCAGTTAAGAGGTGCACCATTTTGGAAATATCATCCTCTCTCCCCACAACCTCTGATAAATCACCAATAGTGGAATGGGTCTGTGCGTTTCTTCTACGCTCAGAAACCACTGTGCCAGCAAGTCTATTTTGGAGTCCAAGCTCTCTTGCTTCATTGTTAATAGCTTCCATCAATGCAATAATTTTATTAATCTTCTTAGCAATCCCCCTACGAAATAGAATGGTTTTAATCTTTTTCAGCTTTTGGTCTTGGTTCTTCACCTTGCACTTCTCACTTTCGTAAGTAACCTCATCCAGCACATCATCAGCCTCAAAAACCACATCCCTGAGCTTCTCAAGCCAACCCTTCACAGCACGGTCTCGCACCTGTCTCTCCTCTGCGTCCAGCAATACATCCTTGATCATGCGCAGTTTGTTCTGAAGCGTTTCAAGCTCCTTCTTACACCCGACGGCAAGGCTGATTTCGTCGGCAGCAGTGGAAATCAACTTGGAAATTGTGGTATTGATGATGGGACTCATGAGAAAGTCAGCCCATTGTGGATCCATAACTTGAAGAAAAGAAATGGTTGGTTTTGGAAGCCTCTCTGGAGCAAAGAAAGGAAGAAAGGTATGTTGGTGGCGCATATAATGGATGAAGAGAAAGTACTATGTATAAATGCACAGTTAGTGTTGAGAATCAATTTTTTAATATCAAGTTGCAGCACTCTGCTTTTATGGTGGCGTTTGTTTTATCTCAATCGGCAAAGCAATAATTTATTAATAGAAATAAAAGAGTAAATGGTTCCAATTTTCAAAAAGCTTCAATTCCAAACCGAAAATACAAGAGGAAAGTTTTGTTAAGAGTAGTAGTTGTCTGTTGACGTGAAAGTAGATAGATATTTTTTTATTTTTATTATTATTTATTTATTTGAATTAATTATCTTATAAAAAATGTAAAATTATGTAAAAATATCAGTTTAACTGAATTAACCAAAGTAAAAAAAAAAAGTTAATTTGATTTAAAATTTCAATTACTTTAATTATAACCAAGTTACACTTAACATTAGAAATAAAATATAAAATGAAAAAGTAAACTAATTCAATTGAGATTGATATATTAATAATTTGTATGAATATATTGGTACACCACTGTTCTATTATTTTCATTGTATATACGACAACAAAAACTTAAAAGAATCAAAAACTTAGAGTTGATATGCTAATAATTTGTATCTATTGATTCTTTTCTTTTTATTATTCTTTTCTCATTAAAAAAAAAAAAAAGAGAATCAAGATTTAAGATCTAAATAGATGAAATTGAAGAAATTTGTGAGGATGACTAAATTAAACCAAACAAATTCCATCTCATAGCAGATTTGCTTAATTGCAAGCCTATTTTTAGCAATCACAGGGTTTGATGAGAGTTTCTTGAAAATAGAATATAATTCAAATTAATCAGTTAAAAATAAATCGGAGTATAAAAAGAGTTCAATAATTTAGTAAAGGACAATTTAAAAATAAAGAATCTAAGAAAGGATATTGAAGATGAGGTCATGTATTAAAAAAAAAATAGATGTCTTTCATTTAATATGTAATTTAACAGTAACATAAGCACACAAAATCATGATCGAAGTTCGAGCATACCTGCAAGTTCAATAGAAAAAATTGAAGAAAGTAGACACTGATAATCAAATTAGTTACGCCAGGCAGATTAGAAGCAGGAGCAGAAGTACGCCTTCAATTGCAAGCCAA